ACTGATCAACATCAGCAGAATCGTAAGTCACTGTAATTTTCTCTTTCAGTTTACTTAACTTAGCTTTAGCTACACGCTTTTTAGTCTTAAGCGTTGTAAATTCCATTATCTAATAAGAAAGATAAAAAAACACACTGACTCACCAAATTTACTGCGACTCCGTAGCCGACGGACCATAAAACATGTACGTTCCGTTGTTTAAAAATAGTGGACTGTAAATTAACTTGATATTACTTCAGTATAGAACTCAAAAAACCTCAGACTCCTAACGTTGACCGAAACTTCTTTATTGACTTTCAATAGTAAGTTAGTTGAGGAACGGCGAAGACCACACAAACTCCGACTTCAGTGGCGGCTTACCAACACAAACTCAGAAGAACCTCTGCTTAGTTGAAACTCCAGTAATTCACAGCAACCTCAAAGCTCTAAACCGCGAGCTTTAAAAACCTAACAAATTTGCGTCTGCGCCGCTCCTCGGTACAAAGAAAGAAATACAATTTGCAAACATCAACAATATATAAAAAAACAAATTTAATGTTTACCTGATTTGACAGTGCTATTATCTTTTCTATTTTGGGAGAAATTTGTTGCAGATAACTTTCAACGGACCAAGGTGAGCATCATAATACGGTTTCTAATAGGAGATTTATTACTTTTCATGATTGAAAATAACTGCTCGCATGGATTAGTGCTACCAAACATGGAAATAATTTCATATGCGAATTTTCGAGTATTTTCAAACCTGGCTGGTAAATATTTGTAAAATTCCGGCATGCCCACTTCAATGAATTTTGCTTTCAAATTTGAGTTGCATTGAATCTCGATCACCTCCATTCGCATATGGCTGGGTACTGAGTCAATACTTATTGAGAAAATCGAAGAAAACAAAAAAAAATTTGTCTTCGAGGGAACTAAAATCATTAAACCTCGTTTCAAATTCAGTTGTTAAATTTGCAATTTTTTCTGCGTATTTTTGATACGAACAAGTATCATCTAAACTTGATTTGTTCATGCTGCAGGTCGGGAAGTGCGTCAAATCTTCATTTTCAAGTTGTTTTTCCCAAAGAACTAGTTGACATTTGAATGCTTTAATTATGTCAAACATGTTCGTAATGGGGTCTGGGTCATAATCCCGACAAGCCAGAATCCTGACTGTCCAAAACCCCGACAGGGCCGAAATCCCGACAACCTAAAGTCCCGACACGGTCGAAATCCCGACAAGCCAGAATTCCGACAGGGTCGAAATCCCGACAAGTTAATATCTAAATACAAACACTCAATTTAGCTTAATAAAATACAATTTTTAACTAACTATTACATATTACTAATTAAAAGTTTAAATCAAAAAATCATAAAAATTATGTCATTACTTAAAATAATTTTTAACAAAATTGAAATGACCGTTAAAATTTGAAATGAAGATTTATAAAATTCTTTTTATTAAGAAAAAGAAAAACATCACTTACACATGCAAACGACATATTTACAGTGACACATTGTGAGCGATAGCACGAAGATATTCCATCACAGGTCGATTATCACGATCGTCCACAACAGTCATAATTCTCCTTTCTCTGTCATCATATACCTTTCTATGTTTTCGTTGTTGTTCTCTGCGAAGAATGCATTCAACTTGGTATTCCACATGCTCCTGTTCTTTTTTAAATCCTTCTATGATGTTATAAACGCCAACATGCCCGTCCAATTAAGGTCTCCCATCTTCTGTGTCAATCCTCGACAGCATTTTGAGCACGCGGAGCATTTATAGCTGCCTTTTCTAGATCACTAATGATTCTAGATGGCCTCAGTTCAATATTATTTTCTTCAGAGAAATCAATTAAATCTTGGAATAATCTTTTGTAATTTTCTTCAGATTTGCTAGTCATCAAAGCATATACTAGTCGCAGCTGTTGAAGTATGTTAAGGGGTCATTAGGCCTTATTGGGATTTCGCCCGTGTCGGTATTTTGACTCTGTCAGGATATTATACAATCGGGATTTTGGCTTGTCGGGATTTGGGTTTGTCGGGATTTCGACCCTGTCGGGATTCTGGCTTATCGGGATTTCGGCTGTCGGGATTATGTCTGGATACCTTCGTGATGATATGATCTTTTCCTTGTAACGATAAATTTAAATCGGTTAAGTGTTTGGTTATATCAACCAAGAAAGATAAATCTTGTATCCATATTGGATTGTAAAACGAACTTACATCTTGATTTTTCGTTTTTAAAAACTGACATATTTCTTCTTTCAAATCCCAGAATTGTTTGAGAATCTTGGAGCAAGATAACCAACGTACCTCAGTATAGTAGGACAAACCCGAATATTCACTATCTAATTCACTTAAGAAAGCAGTGAATTGACGCTGATTTAAACCTTCAGATCTTATAAAATTTATAACTTTTTTATATATAACAAAACATTCTCCATATTTATTACTTTCATGCATAGAACTTCTTGATGCATAATACAATGCATATGATGAATGTTTGAACCGTGAATTTCACTAAGTTTTTTTCTTAGTAATGCTACGAAGCCCTTGTTTTTCGCGGTCATTGATGGAGCGCCATCTGTAGCTACAGAATTTAATTTTGCTAAAGGTAGATTGTATTTCTGCAGAAGTCCAAAAACACAAGTAAATAATCGCTACAACTCAATCACAGCATTAAGTAAACGAACAGTTCGATAGAACTACAGCTACTACTGAGATGAGTTGTTTGTTCTCGGCTTTTATAAGCTTTATAATTAATTTCTCGAATATACAGGAAACGTCTATAAATATCTGGATTTTTGTGGATGGCAACAGCAATTACGAGATATTTATTTATTAGGTATTAAATGCACGCACTGTTCTATTTTTAACCTTCCAAAGCAGCTGTCTTTTCAAAAATCGTCTGCGTTGCTAAGGCAACATGAAGCAAATCTAATTACAATTCTAAATAAAAAACCTAACTAAATAAATAACTATGAAATCCGTAACAATATGAATTATGTAATAATTAATAATAAAGCAAAGTGCATGCACATGCATGCACCAATATATTGTACAAAACTATGATTGGAAAACTGAGACCATGAGTTCGGCCACATTCGGCTATCGGGGGATGCGTACAAGTTCTGAGTGCACGTGTCCCCCAAAAAAGCCGAAGGTAGCTGAACGCAAGCTACTCACACGAATTTGTAATTTAAGTAGTGTGTGTGTCAGCTCGCTGTGAGTAATTTAACAACACTGAATAAATTATCGTTAGTTACTTAGCAGTAAACATTTCACTTTTTTCTTCGTTGATATGTTATTTTATTATTATATTATTATTATTTGCCGATATATTGGCCGGGCCGCAAAAATATTTGTTGTGGGCCGCGAGTTTGACATCCTTGTTTTAAATCATCGAGTTTGCTGTTAATAAAAAATTCGTTAAAGTTTCACAAAATATGAAATAGACAATAACAAATTCAAACTTCAAAATTCGGTTTTCCAGGTGCCCATATTTGGGTGCAAGACTAGGTTATTCAGAATTTGATGGCTCTTGGTACCCTTGTTTTTTCACAATACGAGAAACATACATACATTCATACAGATTCTTCATTATTTAATTCCTTTAAATATAATACAGGGTGATAATATTTAATGACAACAATTTGAAAAGTGAAATGGACATTTATAGTGAACCGTAAAAAATGCTGCTTCCAGACTAATAGCTCTTCTAGGCTAATGCCCCTTTGGGCTAAAATACCCTGAAGTAGCCACCAATCAAAGGCTGAGGATTGTTGCGAAGATAACTGTCATTTACAGCTGTTCCTGACCCCAATCAGTCTTGAATAAGACCAGTTTCGAAGGACTGGAGGATATAAGAAGTCATCAAGATCACCGCAAAAAATACTGTGCATAAGCGCGTCATCGGTGCCATTTATATAGTAGAAAAGATTCTCATTCTACTCTAAAAAAAATGCAAGTATTCATATTTTTATTTTTAATTATTAAAGTATGTTGCTCGAATCATCTCTTGACATTTCGGCAGCAGATTCACCTAATTTGTAACAAAATTGAATATTAGAACATTGCTTTATCTTGAAGCAGATTTTTTTTGTACAACGTCTTGTCAGTAAATAAAATGACTCTGACGTTTTAATGTGGATATGACAACGCTGTTGGAGCGAGACGGCTCCTGACCTAATGCAACCTTGAGGGTGCCAAACAGGATTAATACCGCCCCATCCTTGGATCAATCTCATGTAACGACCCCACAGCACAAGGGCTGACAAGGCAGTACCAGTATGGTCCCTGCCGAGCCTTACTCTGTCCCGAGAGCCCTCAGGCTTGCTGCGAAGAGTGGTTATATATACTCCGTGGTTGAGACTGCCTAGGTACAGATCCTAAGCAGTACTTCCCAGGCATTCGTCTGAGTTAACCCCTGGAGAAATGTGGATATGACAAAATAACCAGTTTAAACTGCCCTTAACAATAGTGGAGATGTAACTCTTTTGAAACACACATTTATTCTTTCACTTTTTTAAGTTTGGTCTTTTAATTTGTCTGGTTACTTTATGTGCACTCCTTGTACCTCAAATATATTATTCAAATTTTATTCTTTAGTTTTGGGAAATCTATTTTTCTATGCAAGTAGTCTTAATTACAAATTTGAAACATTAACACACAACAGAATAGGCAGCAGTTAAAACTATATGCCATATAAAGAAGGAAGGTTTTTAACACTGACTTTTTCAGTTTTAATACAAATTTTGGCCCTCTCTGTATTTCTGAAGACTGATCTTCTTGCACATTAAATAAACACAAATTTTATGAATATATATTTATTTTAAATAAATCTATATTAAAATGTTTATGCAATTAACAAATAATAATTACTGAAAATTTGGTATGTGTTTGTTTCAAATTTGTAAATTATGAGAATATAACACATTCAAAACAAATTTATCATCATTTAAATTTAAACTGATTCTGTCTCTTAAGCTTCCATTAACTTGAAACTTCAAATCCACTTAAAGCATGTAAAAATTTTCTTTATTCACAATAAGTCATATTTACACCAAAACATCATGGAGCATTAAGGAGCATTCAGATGAGGGATTTACAGTCATAAATGGTATAACTGAACTTCTGTTGCTAGGCAGACCTTACTACATCATGGGAACTGGTACAAAAATTTCATTTAAATGTTTTAACTTTTTTATTTTACTCCAAGCGGGTACAAAAATCGACTAATCACATTAAAAATAATCACAAATTGATCTCTGGTCAACAATTTTGCTCCATCAGCTGCATATTCACCATGTACAAATTTACGTTCCCTCATTGGCTACAGATTCAACCATATTCCATAGGCATGAATGAATCTAATGACTTTCATGACTAAGTTAACTGTGACAGCAAAACCAACATCTGAAAGCTCCCTTGCTATACTAAGAGCACCTTATTTCCATGAACAGAATCTCTAAATAATGAACATTTTAGAAACCAATGTCTTAAAAGCACAACACTTTTTTTGGTAAAAAACAAATAGAACAAAAAATTATACACTCAGAGTAAATTTAACTTTCTAAATCTAAGGTAGCATGAAAAGGCACACGGTTTAATTGTTTACATTTTATTATAATCCAAAAGTTCAGATTTTTGTATGCATTAGAGGGAAAATACCAAAACCAGATTTCAGCTAAAAAGCATGTATATTTAATGAACATCCATTCAATAAGTGTGATTACTGATTCAAATAAAATTTAATAATTGATATAATGACTAAAGAACTGGTAGTGCATAGTTAATACAAAGGAAAAGACACTCAAAGTTTGAATCAAAAGATAAAGCTATCTTACCACTGCATAGTTAATACAAAGAAAAAGACACTCATGGTTTGAATCAAATGATAAAGCTATCTTACCACTAAGTGAAAAATGTATTAAAGGACTAGCAGGTTCTTTTGCACATAATTAAAACAAACTGACATATTAAATAATACAGCAATAAGAAAATATGCAGAAGTATCAAAATGCCAACACTGATTCCTGAGAGCAATATATCCAAATAATGAATAAAAACCTTTGAATAATAAATGCATATAATTTAAGATACATTTCACAAAATAAAACACACAGCCAAACACCAAAGGATTCTGCAGTACTTAAAGGCACTGTACAACTAAACAATTCTTACCTTTAAATGATAAAATGATAAGTTTATTTTTGAAGCAATTAGTTTATTGGCATATTCAAAAATGTTAATCATATTTAGTTGTATCCCAATAACATATGTGGGAGACTTAAAACGCATGTAATTTTTCCCCTGAAAAAAGCAACTCCATAATGAAACAAAAGTAACATAAAATATAAAAAATTAATATACTTAATGAATATACTTCTGACACTGACATACATCATCGCTGTTGTTACAAACAAGACTAGAGAAGAATGTCTACTAAAATATTTGAGTTTCAAATATTTTAATTCCTCAGACATGTAAGAATAATCAATGAAAAGTACACACAATATAGAAAAAACAGATTTGAAAGAGAAGTTAATTTCACAGAATCTCATGAACAAACTAAAACTAATAATGCCCTCTGTTTTAAACTTGATTTTGATATATTATACAACTGATATGATATTTAACTTTTGCATTAGAAAATACGAGAAGATTAAGCTATATACTTTTGAAAATACTTATCAAGTCTTCAATCTATAAATTGTAAGAAAATATTTTCCCCAATTTTTAATGATTACAACTTTTACAAAAGTGCTTTAAATTATGCAGATAATTAATACAATTTTAATAATTAAATACAATAAAACCTAAAAAAGGTTAAATTTAATGAAAAGACTTATACTTAGAAGTTACACACGTTAAGTAATATAAAGAAATCAGTAAATAAAATTTGAAGAAATTACAAATAAAAGATTCTAATTTTATATTCATGAAAAAACTTAAGACTTAAAATTTAAAACAATAGATATAGCTATAAAAGCTCCATAGCAAAAAGTAAAACATGTTTTACAATGGTTCTCCTTTCTAAGAGAGGTCTTGTGTCTCTGAGAGAACTTAAAAATCCAAACATCAAATAAACAAAAGGAAAGAAACTAATCAAAATACACATAACTTTCTTAATTTTGATTTCTAACCAAAAAATGTCACAAACAATTAAACACATTTTCTTCCTCCTGCATTCCACAAAATAAAACTGTTATGAATACAACTCTAATAAAAGATACCTGATGAGTAAATAAAAACCTACTATGAGAATAAATAAAAAAGTGTTGTCAAAGCCAATTTGATGCATATGAGCTAAAAATACGAATAAGTACATAATAATAACTGATTATGAGTATAACATGATCTACATTAAGCGTGCACATATCCTCAAGAATTGATGTTAAAATAAAGAACCATTATAGCGTGTAGAACATTTAGGCCAGTTTTCGATAAAAGCAGTATATATGAGATATGTGATATTTTAAATAATATGTATGATCCACTACATACACATAGTCAAAATGTTTTACAACAATATCAATATCCTGGTTTATCATTAAAAGCCCTAATATTTCTTGCATTTGTTAAAACATACCCCATTACATGTACTAACAGATATTTATATACTGTACACCAATCCATATTTATGACGAATTTCATGTTTTTGCTCAGACAAATCATATTATTTTTCAATACTTTTAAAAGATATTTCAATATTTGAAATGTTTAGAAATTGAGATAAAAAATTAAAAATGGAAGAAAAATGCCATAAAAATTGTTGAAAGTAAGTGTTTATGTATTTAAAAAAATACACAATAAATGCTGACTGAAAGAAAGAAGAAATTAGAAAATGTGCAAGGACTGTCCCAACAATTTATGGAAGACAATAATGCCCAGTTATGTTATGGATCACTCACGAAGACACCCTATATTATGGTCTCTTAATGTAAGGGCAGCTAATACATAGATATTTTTCTGCTTGCTATAAAAGTCAAACTGCACAGCACTTTATAATGATGAAATTCTTCCTTCAAGATAATTCTAGACTACAATGGCAAGAAGATTGTGGAAGCTTAATTAAAACGTTTAGGGGAAATCAGGAAATTATTGGATAGTCTATAAAACCAGACTCCATAGACTTGAGAATATGAGAGAGTTAAAAAAAGATGAACATTTAATACAGTGTAGGATGAGACAGCTGCCACAATCTCTATAATGCAAAAACTCTCAGAAAATGGGCTCTAACTTATGTTTGAGAAACTCAGACACCTCTGGAAATAGTGCATACAATGAAAAGTCTGATATTTCACACACAGAAACCACATCTAATCTTTTAATAAACTCCAAATAGTGATCTGCACCCATGAACTTTCAGAACAGCTCTTGTAATGAAATAGTTTTTTTCATTTTTTGTACTTAACTTTCTTCCTTTATTATTTTAAGTGTATTAATTATTCCTTTACAGATACAATATTATTTAATGGCATACAAACAATAAAGGAATGTATAAGCCTTTATTTTCTGAAACTAAAAAAACTAATTTTTATATAAATATATATTTTTCATTAACTGAATTAGCAATGAAAAAAAAAAGATCAGTTAGTAAATGTTTGAGAAAAAACATGTAACTCATCTGCTAATGCTGAATTAAATGTAATAAACTACATCATTCTTAAAAGAGGACAAATTTCAACAAATAACTTTTCCCTTCTTAGCTTTTAAACTTTTCTATAGTCAGTTTTCAAACTCATAGCAGAAATATAGGGAAAAAATACTTTTTTTACTCTATAATTAATGAAAAAAAAGTTTAAAAAATAAAATTTATGACTTTTTCCTTTTAGTCTTTTATACTGCATTGATGTCCTCTGCAAATCTTTTTATACTACATTGATGCACATCTAGCTCATTGATAGAAAAAAACTAAAAAATAATTTTGTTACTACTATGACAATTAGGCCAATTATATTTTGTTCATTAATTTATTTGATCCATGTTTTCAAATGACTTTCATGAAAATTCATATTTACACATCATTCAAAAATTTATCTGATACATCCACTTGTTATTTTAATAACAACAATTATAACTACATGTAAGTTAAATATAAATAACCAATTCCCCCCTCCCCAAAAAATAAGTAATATAAAGAGAGTATTTTTCTTCTCTGGATTTTTTTGTATAAAGCTATTCGAAAAACTAAATCAATCTGTTGATTTACAGCATTACAGAAATATATTTTTGGCATGTATTAATTTCAATAATCCTGATAATTAATTTTAGTTACGCTTTGGCATTCCAAATACCTTGAAAATACTATTACTTTGTCAGACTAAATTTATAAAAAATCTTCATGTTGAATTAAAAAAAAGAATGCTTTTTAAATGTTGAATGCCTTAAAGTGAAACCCATTAAACATAAATAAACTTAATATTTGTTAATTAAGTCAAAACTAAAAATGTACACGTCTTATATATTTCAGTTACATACTACAAATTGAATAATTTATTTCATGTCACAATTATTTTATCCCTTTAAATATAACATAGAGATGACTTGTGATTGTTAGAAAAATTCAAAATATGTAAATGAAGTGAGATCTGTTAATAAAACTATGCTTCCATCTTGCATTTATTATTATATTTTGAATAATTTATTTTGTTGCATTATTTCATCATTATTAATACAAAATATTACATAAAAAGACCTATAAATATAAAAGGGGAGCAATAGCTGCTAATTAATATTGCCATTTTGTAATAATGACAAACCTACATATGCCTTAACAGTAATAATATCAAAACTAAATATACCTTAATTTTAAATTATTTTACATAAGCTCATCAAAGTGATATGAATTTTTTATCAACTTCACATCAGTGATGTCAATTTGTTTTTCTTTTCTTTGCATAATGGCTAACTAAGTGAAAAGATTAAGTGTATCGAAGTACAGCTGAATGAATGATAAATACGATTTCATATTACACATTTTTTAAAAAATCGGCAACTAAATACCTAATTAATTTTATTAACTGTTACTATCTGCAACTTTATTTTAAAACTAAGTTGATCTCAGTTGATGTCTACACACCAAACCATGTTGTACATCAAGGGATTAGTTTGGCTTCAAAAAAATATGAATTACAGACAAGTTTAACTAACAATAAGTAATTTCAATCTTATCTATATTATAAAGCAATTCAACAGAAGTCATATTTTTCAATAAAACTGAGCATAAGGAAGAAACATGTAATAGTTATATTCAAAGCTAGATAAATAGTGAATATTATAAATGTTTTATGGGTATGAAAAAAGATGAATTTTCTAATGTATAATATCTTTACAAGCAAAAGAAAAATTAATTAGCTATACAATAAAACTGATGTATCATAAAAGAACTTGAGCAATTTTTCATTATAATTGTATGGCACAAAGTCATGAATTTTTCATTAAGTTTCAGGCATAGTTAAATGATTTCTGTTTTTAAGTCTGATGATCTAATCATAATGCATATCATCTCAATCCCATATTCCTCATTTACATTATATTAACTTTTCGAAATTAATGTTAATATCAATTAATCTTTTGCAAATAATTTTTCAGACATTAAGTTAAATATATTCTGTAATAAATTTGTCAATAAAACATTAAGTTCAGCTTACAAAAAGCTCTCGGAGCTAAATGAGTACTAGCCCCATTCCATAAAAAGAGAGAATAAAATCAATATATAAGAAAAGGATACTAATTAAAGATTTATTAGACTTTAAAATCATGATTTTTCATATATAATTTTATACATATAAAAAAGGAATCAAATGGAAATATGTTTTGAAGAGAGACAAATCATGAAGACAGCAATGAATGATAGTGGTTATATATTCTAGGAAGTAAAAAGCACTTTGTAAGGTTCACACTTTTTTTTTTTTTTCCACTTCAGTTACTTAAAATTTGTTCAAAACTGTGTTCACATTTCATGTGACTATACTTGTAAAAAGATGCATATAACTTCAATTTGTATTTCATACTACATTTTCATCATAACATCTCTTAAGTAGCAAGCGAAAGGATACTGCATCATACTAAATTTATTCATCAATTGATAAGACACAATATCTATCTCTTTTCAATTAAGAAAAAAAAAAATTATTTTTGTGAATATTCTTATTTTTGTATACAGGACTGAGCAATTAATGTTTACCAGATTTGGGGAGGGGGTATAATTAATAAAGACTTCAGTAGATCTATTTCATAAAATTTTCTTCTCTAACTGGTTGTATTTTAATTTGATCACAGCTTATTTACTTTGTTATACCACTGACTGTCAAAGATGTCCACAAGTGACTTTATTTTTAAGGTAGAACTTTATTGCTTCCATTATAATGGAAAAATATTATATTGGAGAAAAAGTTCAACTTGAAATATTTATTTCCAGAATTTAATTTAAAAAGTTATATATTTTCAATAAAATACATCAATTTAGTTCATATTATTTTCTAATAAAAAAATTACAAAATGCTTTTTTTCTGCCAACATTCATCGCTTTCTTATGTACGCAAAATTGGTTTCAATGAAGTCCTTATAGATTAGTGTTCCATTCTTTTAATTTTTTTTTTTTTTTAGATCTGATATATATTTACAGAGAAAATATGTTAATAAAAGAAGTACTGTAAAGATAACTTGTAACATTTTACAAAGATACATCATGAAAAACTTAAGCTTTAATTTTTTTCTCTCAACTATTTAAAAAGTTTTTATTTACAAAACAGTCTACAGTAATATCACAGTACTCAAAATTCACATCCCAGTGAAGTAGGGAGAAGAAAGACAGTAAGTTTAGTAGTTATGTAACTAACAAAACAAAACTTTTACAATGATCACTTTGAATGCTTACACTAAAAGAAAAAAATTAAAAGAAAATGCTTCAAATTACAGCACTATTAAATCAGAAAAATCACAGTTGCTTAAAATTATATATATCTTGGACACTACAACATTTAATAGAAATTTTGATAAATAATACAATTAAGGAGGGAAAAAAAAGATTTGTCTGCACTGCAGCAAAAATAAAAATTACACAGACATCCTCAAATCAACATATTCAAACCTCATTTTGAATTCACATATGTACATCCACAGAACTTGAATCTTCATATAATATTTGAACCTTTCATGTAAAAAATTGGTAGACATAAGAAATCATGTGAGTTTCGTATAACTTGGTGGAGCCACTTTTCGATGTAAATATTTTAAAATATATAAAGGCACACAGCTTACTACTGTCAGCAAGGCTACCTTCCACAGGAATGTAAGTGACCATATAAATTCAGAATCTGTGAGAAAATATGAACAAATAAATTTTCATAAAAGCAATGAAATTCTTAAGATATGCAATTATTAAATTAATTGGAAATATTCAGATATTAAGAAAAAGAAGAATATTAAAAACAGTCTTTTCTCTTTTGTTAACCTTAAAACGCCATTGTAAGGCATAAGTTTATAGGAAAAATATTTGCATTAATTCAAATGGCCAAATTTTTATATGGTACATAATGCTCCCATAAAGGAGCTGCTAAAACAAGCTTTTAAGAGGAAAAATATCAGTTTTAATGAAATTTTTTAAAATAGTACGAAAGTTTCATATATTCCTCACAAAATATTCATAAATTCTCAACTATTTTTAGGAACTGAAAAAAGGTTATATGTTTTACCTCTTCTAGAAGAGGGATGTATATCAGATTGTCTTTTGGCAAAATTGTATACCAATCCGGCTTTTTTTTTTTTTTTTTTTTGACTAATTTTAAACTGTTTCTGAAATTTTTATTATTCATTTTAAGCACACCTTAAATTCTTTAGATTAATTTTAGATATACGTAATATTAAAAGCATAATTATTTATTAAAAAAAATTTTAAATACTTTTTTAATTTCAGCTTAATATATTAAGCTATTTCTTAAGGTAATCATAAACAATTACAAAGCCATGGAACAGCTGAAATAATCACATAACACTTCTTTTACTTATCTAATTCATTTACTCTCTTTCCACTAACTCTACTTCTTCACAAATTTCTTCTACCCTTAATAATTCCTCCTTTCTTACACGTATATATATATGTGTGTGTGTGTGTGTGTGTAGTAGTAGTAGTAGTTTTCATGACAAAATCAATTCGTCTTCAGTCATGGCCCAAGAGACTGTTGCTTAGGTGATGACTGGCATGAAAATTAAACTGGCTTCATAATTAAACCATCATTTTTATTTTGCACAACATTATTCAGAAGTACATCTTCGCTTAAAATTGGTATGTCACTACGGCTGCTAAATGTGCTCTACAATTTTCATCTACAGTCAAAAGTCGTTAATCCGGACTTGTCGGGACTTCGGTTGTTTAAGTTGCCCTTTCTCTTTAATTCTATAAACAGACATAAGTTGTTTAAGTTACACTTTCTCTTTAATTCTATAAACAGACATAATTTCTTGTTTAGTTACAAAGTTCCACTGTTCAAGTCCTATAATTGCTGTGTCGAGATAACCGACTAATTTGTCAATCGAAATTTTTTCATTTTCAATAACCTCAGTGTCACTTTCTTTGCTATCAGAAGCGAATTATAATGACGAGGAATTTGATTTAAATCATATCAAAGGTGGAGTACATCGAGATGAAATACTACATTTAGTAAGGAATTATAAGCCAAATAAAATAAAAACATCTGCCCTGAAGATAAGGATAGTGCTGACAGATCAACTTCCAATTCATTGCGCGCTGCAGCATTAAAAGATAAACAAAGGATATGCCTTTATCCATTTTTTGCAGCAATTCCACTTTTCGTTTAATGGACTTCGAAACATACTTTCGCTTTGTAGATCCTTTACATATTAGTAAATATATATCAGAAATTCTATTTGACATAATCGAAAGTTCAAGCTTACTTTCATAAAATCGCTCTAACAGTCTGCAAAAAATAATAAGCCAAATCCAATTAGAAGATTAAGGAACAACACAATCTGCAACATTAACTGAATTAGATAATTTTAGCTTAACTTATATCGTCCGTTATACATTAAATGTGCATTCATAAACGTATTTTGCGCACGCGCATATTCGCAATCGTAAATAGTACTCCATCAAATGTACTTACTAAATGTAGTATTTCATCTCGATCAAATGTACTTACTAAATGTAGTATTTCGTCTCGATGACGGAGTACATCGAGATAAAATACTACATTTAGTAAGGAATTATAAGCCAAATAAAATAAAAACATCTGCCCTGAAGATAAGGATAGTGCTGACAGATCCACTTCCAATTCATTGTGCGCCGCGGCGTTCCACACATATGCGTAGCCGTAAAGGTCTTACGCGCATGCGTCAACACGACGCATGCGCAGAAAGTTTGTAGCTTTGAGGTACGGATTATAGATCATTCCGGATTATGGGTGCCCGAATTAATGACTTTTGACTGTATATAGTTACATTTTAGATAAAGAAGAAAGAAGGCGAAGTGAGAGACACGGTTTCTTGAGCAGCAGCAAGGCGAGAACAAACAATGCATTATCATTAGTTATTGGTCAGACAGGCATACATCACTTTGTCTTGTTTACAGCCAGAAAGTCATTATGTTAATCCGGGATTGCTATGTAATTACTTTGGTGATACACTTACTTCATAAATACTTTTTCACAACTTTTCAGCATGGGTGCTGATAATCAAAGTTTACAGGAAAAAAGTTTAATCCATTCTTATACTTGGTTCAAAACTGCAAAATATTACACACAATGCAGGGAATACTTAAAATACTACCAAGGTTGGAAGTGCTAGAAATTTACCAATGGATTAATTTTAAAAGATAATTATTGCAATAACCTTCTTACTATGTAAGTATTGAATCTTTTTTCTAGTTTTCCTTTCTATTTAGAATAAGTCTCCTTTAGTTTTTCATTGGAGGTGAGCAAACTCAGCTGTTTTTGTCTTTGTTGCACATCTTTTAGGTTTTTCTGAAAGGTTACAAAGGTTATAAAAATCGCAGATCTCGTTTAAAACGGTTAGCTTCTCCCTTTCCTTCAAGATGATTCCGATACAATGTATGACAGTGTCATAAACAGATCTGCCATTCCTTGGCTACGACCTGGAGTTCTTCCCATTTCTTCAAAATGTCGCTGATTATAGTAGGCATGAGCAGTTTATTCTTCAGTATAACAACATAAGACATTTACCTATTTATAAGCCACTTGAACACAAAGTAAACCTAATTTAGCTCTTGCAAACACTTGCAAAAAAAATATATGCACTTGTAAAAATTGACCCACAGTTATGAAACATGGCATGTAAATGTGCTTTGGCAAGTTATGCAAATGATAAAACTTGCAACAACCAATCAGCACTGTGAAGCGATAAAATGTGCATCTGAAGTGTGCAGCTGGTAGAATATAAAAGGGTCCAAGTATGGCAAGTGACGAGCACTTACAACTACGCTGATGTCTTGGATACATGATACTGTAATGAAAGATGCCTTTAAGATATTCTCAGTGGCATTATGAACAGTTATCTGACTTTGAGATGGGTCACATCATAGGGCTAAAAGAGGCCGGCTGGTTAAACAGGCAGATCAAGCCAACATATTGGCCGTGATATATTCGTAGACCATTGTTGGAAAAAGTGGCTCAAAGCCATACTCAGCTGCCTCAGTGGTTTGAGACATTCCTGGGCCACCAATGCATGAGATGATCGTGCAATTAGAAGAGTTGGCAGATTCACATCAACAGTTATGCTATCATCGCTTCAACGCCATTTACCAACCCGCAGGTATATTGGGATATCCAAGGACATAATTCTCAAAAGACTATGTGATACTGTGTTCAGATTTTGACATCCATTAAGATGCTTGGCATTGAGACTCCAGCATAAGCAGTGTCATTTTGCGTGGTACCACTCTCGTTCATGTTGGACAATGCAGATTGTAGAAATGTAATCTTCAGCAATGAATCCCACTTTTTTCTCGATGCTGTTGACCACTGCATATTTGTCTGGAGATGAGATGTGAGCGGTCCAACGTGTCTTTTGTTACCGAGCCGCATATAACCAGAATATAGAAGGTCACAGTCTGGGGAATGATAAGCTGGGCAGCTGTTCACCCTTTAGCCACGAGGTACTCAGACTGCTTACAGGTATGTTGATGACATTTTCCAGCCAATCATGCTGCCTATGCTAGTAGCTCTTCTGGGTTCTGTTTTCCAGTAGGTGAATGCTAGAGAACAGAATGACTTTCCAAACAATGTCTTATATGTGTTAAATGTCCACAACTGGCTTTCACATTTTTTGATTTGCTATTCATTAATAAAATGCTTCTTTCATCCCATTTTTTAATCATTTGTTTATCTACTCAAGCACTATACTGAGTTTTATAACTGTAGTTTAATTTTTGTTGGGTGCATACATTTTATTGCACCAGAATGTATGTATAACACTATTCACGCGTGATTCATAATGTAAGACTGAATTTGTTATGCAAGATAAACATTTTAGCTTCTGCATTTGTTCATTATGTGAGACATTACTTTATTTCTTTTACAAACGCAGACACACACTCAAAATGTATACATATTGTGACTCAATTTTCAGAACAAATAACTTTGAAACCTTCATAATGAAAAGTAGATGGAAATGAAACCTGGATTCAGTAAAAGACAAAAATTAAAACCACATTTTAGTTACAGATATACGAAACTATTAAGAGCTTTCATATTTTTCATTGATTGAGCTATAAAATTGCAATTCTAGTGTTTCTGACACAAAATTCACAAAGCAAACAAAATTCACAAAATATGTGAAAATTATAAATTTATTATTATTATATTTATTATGATTATTATATATGAAAAGCTAAAAAATGTCTTACCAAAAAAGTGCTTCATAAACACTAAGGATAACAAATAGATGACTAAACTAAATAATTCAGCTAATATCATTAGCCAATGCCACATTCTCACAGTCAAAGCCACCATAAGAAGTTCAGTAAATATCAGTGCTGTGAAACTTATGCTCACTATATGGATGAATTCTGCTTTATACAATAGCAAGGCTCCATACATTATAATTCCACCTATAAAAGAGGAAATTAGACAAGATATATAATATTTTTCAGATGAAATTCTAATATAGCAATTTCCCCCCTGAAATAGCAATATGTAACAGTTATTAAATATGCATCAAATATATAGAACTGCTTTTGATAAAAATGGCAAGCTCCCAAAATTCCATTTTCTCATATGAGGTTTGACAAAAAAATGATAAATCGTTTAAGTTCTTTACTAAAACCTCAGTCATGTTTACAAGGATAAAATAAGATATTGATTAGTATTTTTACTTTTTGTGTAAATCAAGATATCAATAATAAAGTGACATCTCAATTCACATCATTAGTAAAAATGATAATTAATAATTTTCTTAATTTTCATGCAACTTTTGCTGCTTATGAGTTTCAGGGTAGTAGTGTATGTATTTAAAACGAACTTCTAAAAAATCCCATATAAGACACACACAAAAAAAGTCATTTTAAAAGCATAACAAATGATAGCAAAATAAATATATGTTAAGCATTTAAATTACTGAATGGCACTTAGTTATTTTCCTATCTGCCGTGAAAGTGGGAGGGTTCAAACTTATGCCAATTCTAGCAGACATTTATATGAACAGATTGTTCTTTATTTAGTTAGATAATCACAGATCACTCTTTATTTAAATAAATAATCAACAGAGCACAAGTCAAAGCAGTCTCCTCTTAGTGAATTAGGCAAAATGAATTCCCTTAAATATGAATCTAAATTGTGTCATGCATTTGTACAGTGTTTTTTGCTGCACCATTTTGCCAAACTCCAGAATCAAACATTATTTTGAGTATGTAAACTAATATAACCAATACTGTAACTCTGAAAATATTCTGATTACTGTTCAAAAAGGAGACCACTTTGCAAGAAAGCAAGGGCAAAATTAAAAAAAGAAAGAGAGAGAATTCTCCAATTCTTATTGATATATTCTGATTCTTCAAATAAAGATGACTAGAAACAATTTTAATGTGAAAATTCTCAGAGTTTTTTACTATAGTTCTGGGTGCTATGATTTGATTCTACAAAGAAAATGACTAAAAACAAGTAAATGCAAAGTTCCTCTTATGTTCCATGGTTCAAGTTTAAGAAAGTTCCAATTAATGCATAGTTCTTCATCAAAGACTATTGGGGAGGAGGGAATCCATAATATGTCATAACTGATGCTGAAAATAATTATCAGAATTATATGACTTAAACAATTTTTGCTTAAAAATACTTTATAATTCTCAACCTTACAAATAAGAATAATTTGTTGCTTAAAAAGAACTTTATAATACTCAACCTTACAAATAGGAATAATTTGTATTTCACAAATGACAGTCAACTGACTACTTGGTGATTAAATTTCTAGCTATCCAATATTTTTGGAAGTTGTAACTGAAATGAATTTGTGTAGAACACTTTTGCAAATGATTATCTGTTATTGGTTGTGTAGAGGAATATAAAACACAAGCAGGGAAACACGAAATACAAATTGATGAAGCAATCACGGCCCATAAGTCTGAATTTTGCTAAAGCAGCATGTCTTAGGAAAATCTGTAATAAGAGATAGATCTGTACAAGGCTTAGTTGATTATGGCAAAGTACACTAGGGCTATCTGTCTTAGAGAAGGGATGCCTTCGTGGAGGACTGTCTAAGGGAACTAGCTAATATATATATCACACATAAGGAAAACCCCAAAAATGCCCATGCAGTCAGCCTGTTCACCTGGAATCGAACCCAGGTTGAAACTACCCAAATTCCTTGATTTTTACCACTCAAATGCTCGTGGAGCCAGATTTGTACAATGAACATTCTAAATCTTTCTACTGCCTCTGAATGAAAAGTCTATCTGTAAGTAAAATTTGTCAAGAACATTTAAGAGGAGAAGCCAATGACTGAATTAAATTTCTGCAATACCAAGATTGTGTTTGTAGCAAGGAAATCAACTTTTTCACTCCTAGAAATTAATTATGCAAGGGGAAGGAACATATTAAAAGTTATTCTGCACTGAAAATGCCTAACCATTTTTTAGACTCATTATTTCATATAACAGGAATAAATATCAAATGAACATTTACTCTTTGTTTTCCAGATACTAAAATTTTAGCTAATACTTCTCTGTTTATTAATCCCATTTAAACTTCCACTAACTGAGCAAAACTTGTCTGTCTTCAAAATACCTTTGTGTATCAAAAAAATAATAATAAACTGTTGAAACATTTTAATGGAGTTTCAAAAATTGTTAAAAGTATTAAAAGAAGTTTGAAATGATAAAAGCATTACATTAGACTTCAAACTATTTAAAAATAAGTATATTACAAAAAAAGAAAACACACAATTTGAAATGATTTAATTTAAAATATCTTACGCTTATTTAAAATCGTTGTTCATAAATATTTTTCCTTACAATTATTATACAATTAATTGGAAAACTATGAACATACATCTTCATGCAGACCAGTTATGGTTTTCCTATATAGCATTCAATATTTTGTACAGACAGTATATGTGCACAATTTTTATACCTTTCTAAAACATCTTCCCTTATCTTCAGTGTGAAATTTTATCTTGCTTTTTCACATCATAAAAAACATTTGAATTAAAAGTTAAATGTGTCAAAATAACCTGAATATATATTTTTCTCAAATCATAATATTTAGAATATCTACTACAATATGATTATTAAAAATTGCAAATTCAGAAGATTAAAAAAATTAAATACAATACCTTGATAGATACTGATAATAACCCAGATGAAAAAAGTCTTGAATGAAAGAGAACGGCCCTGAAAACAATGAGACAAAATACTTTGAGAGATAATAATTTACTTGAAAACATACAGGAACACATACATGCAATAGGGTGGGGTGGGGAGGGGAAATAAGTTATATGAATGAAATGCATTAACCCCTTAAAAAACTTACATCATCGTCATCATTTCCTGCAAAAAACCTGATATTTTCTAATGGCACAATAAACCCACCAAATTTTTTTAAAACCAGTGAATAAATACAAATTGCCTCTCAAACTTTTTGTATGGATTAAAGTACAACACGCAAATTTTTTCAAATTTTCTTCTTTATCCTTACTGCCTTATCTGTTTCATTTTCATTTTACTGAAATTTTGTAATGGTATGCTACAATTGAGAATTTCTAATAAATCTAACTTTTTTTTTTACTACATAAATACACAACTTTTGAAAAGTATAGCTTTTCAATTATAAAACTTTTATTTTTCTCCCTCCAGTCTAATATAAATGCATGCATGTAAACTGTGCAACAAAAAGGGGGGGGGAATAATTCTATATCTCCAGTTCTACTGAGCCAGTTGACAAAATTCAAATTGCATTTTTCATGTCTCGAAAGCACGATGTAGGATATATATTAAATTTATATATAGCACTGTTCTAACATAGGTATTTTGACACAAAATTGGACTTTTTCTGAAATAACATACTAATTTTTTTTACATATTTCAATTCTATGACTCAAATTATGCCTAAATATTAAATTTTGTAAAATTTGGTGTGAAATTTACAAAGAAATTCAAAATATTATTTTGGCGAATTTTTTCAGTTTGCACCAAGAATAGTTCACTTGGCGAACTTCTTAATATACAACAACCTATTTCCCTTTCCCTTTTTACACTGTGTATGAGTGGAAAAAAAATTACATTGTTCCTACTTTCAAATAATTTTCTTTATATATTTTCTATTATAATTGTTGTTATATTAAATAATTGTTTTCTTTTTCAATTTCATTTTAATTGTTTAAGTTGCATGGTTTCTTTTAAATAACTGTTTTAAAAATTTCTATTTACTCATTTGAACTACATAGTTTAAATAAAAGGTGCATCATTTATTTTTTCAAATAGTTATCTTTATACTATATTTTTTAGTCATACTTATTATTTTAGGTAATATTTAAATTTTTAGAATTTTATTTTAAATTATTTGTGCTGCACTGTCTCTTCAGATAATTGTTTTAAAATTTTCTATTTATTCAATCATACTGCACATTCAAAATATATTTATTAATATAAATTTTCCAGAATTTGATTTTATTTATTTGAATTGCATTTCTTTTGAAAGAATTCTTTATGACCCAGAGATGACCCAGAGTACAATGCATTTGAAAACTACATATATTAAAAGAGAAAATACAGTACAGTTAACACGCCTTTTAATGGGCCATTTGGGAAAGATATATAAATAAAAGAGATGTATAACTGACATTTTAACTTAGGATGACTTGCATACATTGCTTTACACAATTTTATCATCCTACATTTAGTTTCTTAAAATGTTATTCATATTTTAGTCAAATATTTTAATTTTGAAATTGCAAGAATCAAATATCATATGATTAAAAAAGTTTTAAATTAAAAAAAAATACTAAATATTATGCAAAAATTTATTTTTTCTTTTTAATGGCTTGCTCTTTTTCTTCAGGTATTCTGCAAGTATATTAAAAAGCAACCAACTTTTTAAAACACCTTGGTATTTCTGACATTCATTTTAAATAAAGTTATCGCCTTCCATTTCATAAGGGCCCACAAATGGCCGAACAGTGAAGTTGCTGAACTTTAATCTGCATTGATAACGTTCTTGTCTTTTCCGTTAGCATAAGCTCAATTGCTGGTGTACACGTCCCAGTGTTTTCTCTTTGAACACCCAACTTTCTAAAACAAGAATTGCCCTTCAAACTTTTGCTTTTTTCCTCCCCTCTAATTTTCTTTTTTGTAAACTGCATTAAAACATCCCAATATATATTGGGGGGGGGATCTGAAAGGGTTCATATTTTAATGACAACCCCAAAAGATTTGTTACAGTTTTTTATATTTTCGCTGAGCACACACTCTACCAGTCTGCTGTTGCACTCACTTCTGCTAATCCATTTCTTTTCATCTTTTTAGCTAATTGTTAAGCAACATTTTCTTCTCACTTACACCACACAATTCAATAGCAAAGGTATGAAAATTTTAAATCTTTAAATGCAGCATGAGTTTAGAATTCCTGATGAAGTGTTTATTGTTGGCATACACTTTTCTTTCTTTTTCTCAGTTCATCATATCAATGTTCACTTACCAAAACTTCTTTTTTTTTTTTCTTTTTACTTCTAATGTTTTGTATGTTGACTTATTTAATATCATGTTCTTTGCACTTATGCAACATCAAAACAGCAAAATCACAGAATATTTAAAAGCAGCACAGCTTTAGAATTTCCGATATACAGGCTAGCACGCTGGAGATAAAAATGTTTTGTTCCATAGAATGCTGCTACTGCTTGCTTTCAAAGTGTTGAGTTTGCCAATCAAAAATGCATTAAAGTTTTATAAAATATGAAATAAAAAATTCAAAAATCAAGCTTCCCCGTGCACATATGTGGGTGAAGGACTATGTTATTCAAAATTTGATGGCTCTACCATCGTTTTTTCATAATGCAAGAAACATACATATGTGCAGATTCTTTATTATTTAATTTCTTTAAAAATAATACAGGGCAATAATATTTGTGGCAACAATTTGAAAAGTGATATAGCATAGCGTGTATGATGGAAAATCCCATTCTGAGACTAATAGCCCATTCAGGGTAACATTCAGAGTAAAAACAGATCCTTGTTTTGAACCAGCATTCTTAATATACTCTATCTTTATATACAATTAGTGATCAATTTTATGTTATAAAACTGTCAATTCACATTCATTTACCATAATTTCAAATTAATTTTTATTTTTACATTAATCATATAAACTATCACAATCATTCAATTCTTAATTTTTGTTTTGTATTTCTATCAGGCATGAAAGTTTTCTGCATTTTCACGGAATTCTGCTTTTTTGAACATCACTTGGGCTGTTTCTGAGATCAATGCAGAACCGCTGAGAAATCGCGACCGGCAAATGTGCGTGTATGTGTGTGTGTGGGGTAGGGGGTAAACAGAGGACATGCTCTCTCTCTTCCTCTTTTCTTCGTAAAAAAAAAACTTTACATCATGCCAGAGATCGCGAAATGTGTCGTTTCACATCAAGGCGATATAGGTGGGGCTTATGTGGAAAGGCGGAACTAGATGCGTTACGAATATCGAATCAAAGAAGAGCAAGCAACCATCAAACGAGAGCTGACTTCAATAATTTCAGCGATCGGTGCTGGCACCATCTGTTGGACACACATATACCCTACTGATGTTATCCAGAGCACGTGCGAGTTTTAGCGTGTGTAAAGTGGCATACTGTAATTCGGAGAGTAGATCGTTATGTTATTTCTTTTTTGTTTGTTGCTGTAAGTTTTTTGGTGTGAATATTTTAAATCCGAATCATGAGCACAAAGCTCGGCATATACATAGTGAAGAAAAAAATAAGTTCAAATTTGCGTGGCTAAAAAACATTGTAAAAATTCATATGAATGGACAAGAAATGGAAGTGGTCGTTGCATTCAGAAAGTGGATATCAGTGGAAAAGTGAAGTGTGCATTGTGTTCTGATCTAATATATTATGGAAAAAAGGGATATGTTGCTATTACCAACCATATCAAAAGCAAAAAACATTGTGGGAGAGAAGTAGTGAAAAGAGATAATTACAGGATGCCATCATCATATTCATCTTTGACAGACACAAACATAAGCATGCAAGAGAGAAAAACAGAAGAAAAATTAGCAGCTCCAAGTATTCCAATATGTGATCGAGTTTCCAGCTTAGAGGGTCAACTGCTTGGAGTTATGGCTGAAAATAATTTGCCTTATACTGTAGCACCTGTGATAATTGATTTAGCCAAAGCAATGGCATCTGATAAGAAGGCACTATCACAGCTCTCAATGGCTTGCACTACTGCTTCATATAAAATGAGATTAGGCATTTTAAAAACATTTTTCAATGAAACTGTGAACAATTTAAAAAAGTTTAAATTTTCATTAAATATTGATGAAGCTACAAGTAGTAATCAAATGAGAGTTTTGTGCATATTAGCCAGCTACTTTTCTACAGAAGACAATAAAATAGTGGTCAAGCATTTAATATCTGTTAATGTTTTTAATGTGTCTGCTGAACAACTATTTCAAAAAATTGTGTCTCTTTTTGACACAAATCAACCCATTTGAGAATCTCATGTCTGTTTTGAAGAATTCTTGCAATATAATGAGAGGATCAAAGTCTGGATTAGTGGTGAGACTTCGTATTGAGAAGGTTCCTCATTTGTTAGGTATTGATGGAGATTCTTGCCATCCTATACAAAATGCATCCAAGGTATTTTCTAAACCATTTGGTGGGTGGGTAGAAGATTACCTGCGAGATATACATAATGAATTTAATTGGCCTGCTGATTTAAAAGAAAAATTAGAGGAAATATGTGTGATTTCAAATGTCAAATATACTGCTATTGAACATTTTATTAAACACTGCTGGCTGTCCATATATGATGTTACATTGAGTAATATACTCATGTTTGATTGTTTAACCATTTTTTATTATGGATTTTTAAATCAGCATGACAGATTATTATATTTTAATATATGTTGCAGTATCTATAAACAAAGAAATATGAGCAGTGAAAGTGGAGAACGTATTAAGGATATCCACAGGTATTTAGAGCAAAGCATTAGACAAGTAATGGGAGGAAACAAAAAGAAAGAATAATTTCAAAATTATTTTATGACAGGAAAAAAACTGCAATTAATTATGCATTTTGATGTGTCTGTATTGCCATTATTAAAAAAAGTATGTTTGTCTATTTCAAATGAAAGAGCCTTTGATTTATAAATTGCATGATGAGCAGAAGCAGCTATTTATTGATTTTTTAGCACTGTTTATTAAGTCAGAATTTCTCCAAAATAAATCTATCGCAGAAATTTTGACTTTAGATATTGCAGATGAATCTCATCTTTTATCCCCAGAGAATATGTATTTAGGAGCAGCTATAATTACACTTATTTCAAAAAGATTTAGTGAAACATATGTTAAAGAATTTTTTTAAAATTCCAAAGCTTTCACCAGCTGTGCAAAATATCAGCTGTGTTTGTCTAAGAACAACCCATTATTAAAAAGCATATCAGGAACTGATCCTACAGCCAGAGGGAGACTTTGCCAAAGAACAACCCATTATTAAAAAGCATATCAGGAATTGATCCTACAGCCAGAGGTCACCATAGTACCTTAGTTACATTTAAAAGATTGCCTGAATTAATCCAGAATGTTTTGATATAAGAAGACAAAATTTCATATAATTTAGAAGTGCATAAATACCAAATTGATAAAACATGAGCTTCACCATTAGATATAGATGGAAAAATAATGAGACTTGATGAGTGGTGGGCCAAAGCATTTGCAGATGGCAGTTATCCAGCTTTATCCAAAATGGTAAAAGCTATTTTAAGTTGTTTTCATGGGCCACAAGTTGTGAGTGCTTTAAGTTCTATGAGGACTGTGTTAGACAAGGAGTGTGACCGAGTAGACACATTGTCTGCTATACAAACAGTAAAATACAAATTTTTGAGTTGCAATAAGTCAACTCAGGAATTTTTTAAAAGGGATGACCACTTGCATTCTCCAGTACACAAAACTCTATGTAAAAATTTAAGGAATGCTCATAAACTGTACAAAGAAGAGCTAGAGATAAAAAAGGAGGAGCAAGAATCTAAAAAAAAAAAAAGCAATTAAACATTGAAGAAAATAAAGAAGAAAATAAAAAAGTATCAATGGATTGTATAAAAGCTACTGAAAAGAAATTGAGACTAGCTCACAAATGGAAATTAGAAAAGTTAGCTGCAAAAGTAGCAAAAAAGAAAAAGCTTTTTCTCTAGAAATTTTTTAATCAGGATTGAGCGAGACTGAGACAAAATAGTTATTTTTTATATTCCTCCTTTAACTATATGTTATTTTGCAACTATATTATCTTACATGACTACTTTTTCTGGTGTTATATAAAGTACTATTTATTGAACTAAAAGTGAAGATAACTGAAAGCTATAGTAACAGTTTTCTCTCTCTCTCTCTCTCTCTATATATATATATTTGTAACAATAAAATTCAAATAATAGTCAAGAATACACTTAAATTTCTAACTGTATGTTCTTTTCATTTTTAATGGCGACGGTCTCTTATTTTGGCAGACTTTGTTAAAATAACCTAACCAAGAAATTATGTCACTGTCCTTAGAATCTTCAAATGGAATAATATTTAAATCTATTGTATCTTGATTCACGTTAAGTGAATCATTAAGATTAACAGGCTCCTGATTTGTCGACATTGTAACTGAAACTTTAAAATTTTCTTGAGAACAAAAAATGTGCACTTTTCTCAAAATATTTTTACAATAGTTAATTTTTTTTTAAAACCAAAAACTCTTCAGAGTATTATCAACACTTCATAGAATAATAGACTTAAATAAAAATTTTGTATTCTCAAATTTTATGATTATCAATACACATTTCAGGATAATATCAAATCTTACTTAAAATGCTATTAATTAGAATAAGACTTGAAATTTAAATAAACTCGGAATTACTTTAACATAGTAATTTTAAACCAAACTATTGTTGTAGCAGCTTAGTTCACACACTGAGAAAAAATAATTTCTTAAAATATGTTCTTACTTGGCTGTTGAGTACACTATTTAATCCTGCTCGTTTGTGTGCTGTTTAAAAAAAAAAAAAAAAAAAAAAAACAGCATAAATGATTGAAATTCTTCAGCTTCTTTCCAGCAGACGATATCCAAATCGTGCGGTTCTAACTATGAGACGCGCTCAAAATTCGAAGACAAAGCTGTATCACAATTCACAATTCTTCAGTTGTAAAAAACAGACCTAACTTGCACTTAAAAAGTTCTTTCTCTTCCACTGGAATTATTTTCCTTTTAGGTACACCCATCCTGCCGACTCCTTGTGATATATCAGCTTTAGTCGTAGCTTAAATAATCAGACGATAGTTTTAAAAAACAGGATCCATTTATTATTATTTAGGAGAAATATCAGTTACAAAAATCAGATATCCGGAGTAAATAAAAAGAATTACTAATAACTTTTTGTATGAAGTTTACTGCATCATGACATTTAAGAAAAAGCCCCGATATTCCTTTTGCGAGTCTTTTTATAGCCTCTGGAAAGGCAGAGCTTCCAAGAAATGACGTCAGCCAATCCAGTTTGCTTTAAATATTTCCAGAACAACATATAACTGTACGTGTAGAAAAGGCAGGAAAAACAACTTGACTACGGGGCTGTGGATTTAATTCCACGTGCTTTCAAATAAGAGACCGTCGCCATTAAAATGAAAAGAACATAGTTAGAATTTTAAGTGTATTCTTGACTATGGAATTTTATTATTACAAATATATATATATATATTATTTATCTCTAAAATTTTCATTGCCTGAAAATGGGCAGAAATATATAACATAAATATGTATATTAGTGTGTTGTAATGTTGTGTACAGTATCCATGTATCAACTGTTAAATTAAGTTACATAAAGAGCATCTTAAAGAAGGTTAATTCATTAAAATCTCTTGGTGATTTACTGATTTTTTTTAACAAGTGGAAGACAAAATTAATGTAGCAAAATAGTAAGTACAAGTATAATTTTAGTTTAATTATATGTATATGTTTAATACTTTTTATATTAAAAGGTTGATATTTTATTAAAATGTGTTTTTTTGAGGTCGCGCATGCGCATTTAGTTTTTGTGTAATTTTGTGTCCGCGCGTTGTTTGGCTGTTTTTGCCAACTTGCACCTTCATGCTTGTTCTATACTCATTATAATAATATTTAGTATCAAAACATTTCATATTTCCTACATTATATTAAAAACGCAACTTTATTCCCATTTTCTGCATCCATTTTTCAAAATTACCACACGCAATTTTTACATTTAGCTCATTCTTAAAATAACTATAAAATTTTTTAAATAATTCAAAGGCTTTTTAAATAATAACTCAGAAATATAATTATTAATACAGTAATTTTTAATAACTTCCCTAAATAACATAACTATAAATCTTTAAATTCGTTAATTAATTTTAGTCATCATAACAAAAGTAAATTACTAATACTATAAAATTTAGAGCAATATAGAATAATTTTGAGATTTATGATTATTCAAAATATAAATTGCAACATTTTAAAATTTTAATAAGAAAAACAAGATTACATATTAAACATTTCAAAATAGCATTACATGTTAGCAATTTTCTGTATGATGATGACATAATTCTAGCTGCACTAATTAGAATCTTACTTTTATTCAAAAAATACTTCATGTAAAATTTTAAAATCGATAGCATTATTTCAGTTTTTCAATGAAGTGACTGTAATGTAACACATCATGACTGGAAAAATATGATTATGGAGTTCTATTATGGATAAATATCTGTGGGAGATTATAATTTTGAGTTTCTTGATTGATGAACATAACATTAATAAAGAAAAGAGGAAGCGAAAATACATTTATTGCACACAAAGGCTTGAAGCATATTCTTAAACAGAGACTGATGACTTTCAAAAGCACTGGGAATGCAGTAGTTGCAATGATTTGGAAGGTTCAAGCCTTGTAAACACTCATTACATGACTTTTAACGCAAACACTATGGCTGGATTAATTTTCAAAGTGCTGCAGAAGAAGATTGGAATTTTTTTCTTTTGTGGATAATGAATAGATTAAGATTGATGTTTTATATGGATGCAGAGCAAAATAAAATTAGTAGTCATAGCAAAGCTTCAATCCTTGCAGTTAAGACTCTATAATTCTTTCTACAGATGAATTTCCATTGCTGTATCTATACTTGAGACGATCTCAACTAGATGGATATAACATTATAGATATATGAATATGCATAAATGATGATCCATAAAACACAGCAAACTTGACAGCCAAGGGAAGTTAAATATTCATTTTTATTTCAGTTACTATTTGGGGCCACAAATAACTTTGCATTCTAATCATGTCCATTTCAACATGTTTACACGTTTTCATAGCTTTGTGGTAAAAAGAGAAGCAGTAAGCAGCAGTCTCGTTAGGCCAAAGTGCAAAAAGCAAGTGCATAGTTTTCCAGTATGGGGGTTTATTAGAGAAAGGTTTTAGTTGAAAATTTTAAGTTCTACATTAGCTATATTGTCATTGTTATATAAAAGTCATATTATATGGACTAATCCAGAAATGAAGTAGTCGCCCCCCCCCCCCCGAAAAAAGTTATTAAGCAATCTATCTTTAAAACAGAAAGGGAAAATAACCAAACTAAAATAAAGAATTAAAGGGATATTGCTAATTTAAGTTATAATTTTGATTTGCATATTTTTATCTCATATACACATTACATAATAAAAAGAAATGATTTCATATTTTTTTAATGTCTGTTATAGACGGCTGCTTGAACTTACCTTACAAAGTTCCTTGTACAATTCTGGATATGTAAGTGCGATTTCTGGAGAAACATCTTTATCAAGAACCAATGAAAATACAGGAAACATTGTAAATATAGTGGCATATCTAAGAGAAATCAAGATTTAGCACATCGTAAAAATGCTAAAGAGGTACAAAACATAAATAATGATTTAATTAGGAAACAAAAGGCTTTTTAATGAGATTATTCTGTCATTGTTCTTAAAGCAATATATATTTTTAAAGCCCAGTAAAAAATGTCTATTTTAAAATTAAGATGCCATCCAACAGAACCATGCAAGCTGAAGCAATGCGAAACAAACTTCTAATAAAATGTTTTGGTGCAGTGTACATCAAATTATCATCATGTAATTCCCAATAACAAAGATGGGCAATTATTATTCCTTAAAAACTAAAAAATTTAACTTGATTAAAGATTAAAAACACATGATACACATGAAAAAAATATTAGCAGTTCTTTTCACAGAAGTCAGGTATACAGATTTAAAAGCTTATTAAAATAAATCACAAAATATACACTTTTTGGAGCAATTATTATTAAAAAAATTTCATATAGAAATACATAAAATGAAACACATAAAATCTTTGTATAATATTTTATTTTAAATTTCATGTTATTTTTTACCATACATGATATTTCAAAATTTCTGACACAAATTTTAAAGATAGATCCAACAGAAAAATTGTTATTCATGTAGGAACATATATTCAAAAACATCACACCCAGGTACTGAAACATAGTCTAGTCGACATACTTTTATTTGTACATCTAGCTGCAATGGACATAAAAAACACAGTTCCCTTTTTACACTTAGTACATCCATTTTTAACCAAAACTTAATTGTTAAAAAAACTTAATTGTTGGCAGAATGCAAATAATATATTCAAAAGAAAACATCATATACTTTGAAATCACAAAAATTATTGATGCCAGTGCAACAGCAAAAAAATAAATGCTTAAGAAACCTCACCTCTCAGAAACAGTTTTCTACATGAACCTTTTTTGAGAGCTTATGTTCCTACAGTCTGCTACTTTAAAATAAGACCATTGCTATCCCACCCCCATTTACAGTTGTAACTCACCATCACCACACAACAATTATTTTCTCCATGTCATTTGAGACTGTAGTTCAATTTAGCCTTCATTTGTGGGCTTTTTTTCATAATGCAAAAAACACTAAACGAAAATGAAATGGGGGTTAAAAATTAAGCAATTTGACCTTTTTATGCAGGTTATTGTTCTCATGGTTATCAGTTAAACTGAACAGCAGAAAATAACCTTGAAGTTCTCACTTTAAAGAAACAGACTGCACATGCATATTCTTAATGTACAACAAATATAAAGTTTATACATGAATTTGAAATCACATTCATGTTGTTATATTCTATCAATCATATTTAGGTACCAAGTATAACAGAAAAAATTATGTGGTCGTACTATTTTTATCCTGTACTATATCAGCATAGAATTTTATTAAAAATTAAAGATGAAAACATGTTTCTTGAAGCTGTTAAATATACTACGAACTACATTTCGTTTCAAATGCTTATTTGAAATTAAATATTAAAACATTTGGATTTCTATGAAATATGTTTCCATTACTCACCCAACCATAAGGAAACCTGGATAGAGAGCCACTGATGCAAAGTAAAAAACAGCAGAAAAAAATGCTTGCATGGTTGATATTATTAAGCCACGATGAATGACAAACTGACTCAGGGCAGCAGATCGCTTATAACTAAAAAAAGAAAATTATCATAAGCTTATGGTTACTTTACTTATTAAGAGCTTATTAAATTATTAATATGACATAAGCATGTAGTATATGCAACAAGCTACCTTCTAGATACATAACTGCTAAATTTAATACTGTTTTCCCCCCTTTCATACACAAAGAATGTTTTCCATGAATGATACTTTCGAAATATATTCATACGCTACTCCCTCCAATAAGAGATAAATCCTAGAGTATACTAAATACCCTAAAATAGATTTTTTTAAAGAAATAATCACTGAAGCATGCTTTTGCATAGTTTAAAAAAGATAAGTTATATGAATAATATATCTTACATTATCTAAAAACAATAAAAAAAGTGGTCTGTCTATATATGTGTCATGCAATGCAAAGAAAAAAGGTTCACTCACTCTCAGTCACACACACACATAAAGTCAACTATTAAAGACTGAAAATTATTTTCATTTAGCTTTTATGATCATATATAGCTTTATAAATAGCATTAGTATTTTCATTCATTAGCAACCAAAATATAATTGCAAGCTAAAAAGCACTGAAGTCATGATTTTTAATATTACTTTGGGTCTTAATATATTCCATAAGCACAGAACATATATAAGAGAGAGGGGGGAAATTAATCCACCTTCTTAATCACAAAATACACAAAGTACTTGTAACTTGAAATTTGCATTTCTTCCTTGCAACTACACAGTGTTGGACAGCATAAAGTTGAATGCTGTATAGTTCCACGGTAGAAGAGAAGAAGATGAGTCTGAGAAGACCATATGCCCTTCAGACATTCTGGTTATTGACATCACCAGTAGTTGCGATTCTCTTCAGTATGGTGTGGCAATCTGATATATGGAATTTTTGCAGCAAAGTACTTTACAACATACCAGTCAAGTTAAATAGAAGTGCAAAGTTCAACACTATATAGTCTCGCAGCAGAAGATAAGAAGATGTGTGTCCTCCTGATCTAGTTATTGACATGGCCATTAACTGCAATTCCTTTCAGCATCGTACTGTGATCTGATGTATGGAATCCTAACACGAAAAGGAAGTGTCGAAGATTATAGAGGAAATAGGAATCCAACTGAATGTCCCAGACAACATTTATATGAGGTAATGTATGAAACTGTTGCAACCAAGTACCTGCTGACATACCAGTCAAGTTAATCACACATTATCCAACTCCCATCTTGTGTTAATGTTTTTTTTCTCAGATCTCCTAGGTTTATATATCATGTTCATCAGTTATGTTAAGCTCATGAAAAGCACCTATTAAAGTTTAACTTACAGCACGCATGCTTTTTTGACAAGGCACCAAGTTTCAAACTACACCAAAACTCTCAATGTCCCCCAAATTAAAATTCAACATAAACAAAAATATTATAATTAGTACATCGATAAATACTTAAATATGTTTCAAACACTATTCAATTAATAAATTAAATAGTGATTGATAGCAATGGGTAAAATATAAATTATAATTCATAATGTGAATGCTATAAATTTATATTTACAGTAAACTAACCTGTATCGCCCATGAACTAAGATCAGATGAGCAATATGACTAAACTGAGTGACAGAAAAGTCTGCAGCCAAGGATGCTTGCTTTCCCTCCTTGCCAACAATGCCAATTCCAACATCTGCTGCTTGTATCATACTCACATCATTCCCACCATCACCTACAAAAATGGTGAACATATATGAAACTTTAAACATGAAAAAATTAAAACAGTGAATCTCTATACATATTCCTCATCACATCTGAAAAATATATAAATTATTATTCTGGTGCATATGAAAGATATCATTTATGTAACATTTAAGATCAATGGAAAAGCATGCTGTTTAATTTACTACAAAAAGTGAAACATGAATAGCTATTTCAGGTAAATTTCTCTTTTGTCTTTGGAAAATATCACTAAAAATAATTCACTTAACTGTCATTTCAGTGAAATAGATAGTGTAAAAATTAAAATGATAATAATAAGAGTGACAATTGCAATGATTCAACAATATTTAACTAATTTTTAAAGTTTATTAAAATAGATTTCTTAATTTAATTTGAAAATCTTTCTTAAAGGGGAGGGGGGTGTTGCCACAAACATTATAGAACACTCTTTCAAAAGTGAGTAATATTACTTCTACACAAGCATTTTAGTTACCACAAAAAGAATTGGGAAAAGAGATGTAATAAAATTATAGAGAAGCAAGAAAATTCTGCTGATAAGATAAGAAGGTCACATATGAACACTTCAATGGAAATTTGTTCTTACCTAGCTCTTTGTAGTAAATAAAAAATAATTATACTGAGTGATTTTTCAGAATAATGATTAGATTATTATAATCACTTTCAGTGGGAAAATATTGTAATATGAAATATTCCAAATTTATTATTATTTATGAAGCAGTCACAATTTCTTTCAAGTGCTTTTGTATTTTTTCTTGAAGGTCTTAAACCTTTTATGAGCCAGCCAAGAACATGTATCATGAACTTAAATATGAAATTTAATTAGAATTATACTCTCTTCAACTAAACAATTTTGAAAATGTTTTGAAATGGCAGTGTGAATTTGTTGAATATTTGCTGAAACTGACTTAATCAAGGATGCATGAAAGAATTCAGAGAGGATATGGACAAAGGAAAATTAGTTTATTGTAATTGAAAGCAGAATTTTCATAGATTTGCTGCTCACAGAAGGTGCGCTTTTTTTTTTTTTAACATTCTGTAATTAAACTATGAATAATAAATTCTGACTTAAATAAAGCAGGGAAACAGCATACAGTGATTTAATATTACACTCTAAATAGTTTTCAACCAAGGCATATAACTAAGGCACTCTGGGACTCTCGACATAATATGCAGTCAAAGCACAATATAATAATTTCCTTGTTTTCATGACAGAAAAATGAATGTTACAAGAAATAAGAAGAGATTTTGGACCTCTCTAAAATCATAGGCCCTAAAGCCAGGTATTATGAGCCCAGACAGCAATCAAGCCCTATACTATTAACTTTTGGAAATATTTCAACTTTATTTGAATAGTTGAAATATTGTTACAGAATCGCATCATCTAGTCTGGCTTATTCAGACCTGTAGAAGACCTGTATGACAGGATGGCGCTTCACCCCATATTGTTACACATATGAAATAGTTATAGCACATCGCCTGCTGAGCCACCACTTCCATCATACTTGGTATCTCAGGTCCCCAGACTTCAATCTGTGTGATTATTGGTTGTGAGGTTACCTGAAAACACAAATCTACAGCGATCGTCCGACCTCAAGATGCTAAAAGACAACATCTGAGAGCAATTTCTCATCATACCTACAGATATGCTACACAGTGCTGTTCACATTATCCCTTGACTATATGTATTGTTGATGAATGACAGCCAACATGCTGAACATTTGTTATACAGAACACAGATTTTGCTAAAAACCATTTGTTATTCTAATTATTGCTTTTGTTACCATATGAAGGGGCATTTGTTGGCCGTTTTAAGGACTTTTTTTTTTTTTTTTTTTTTTGTGCTATCAATAAAACTCCATGACATTTCAAGCATGTGTGTCAGTTTTTACCCCTCTACTTACATTATTCAATGAACTATTGAATTTTCACATGTTAATTGACTTTTGGGTCACCCTGTATTTTATATTTCAATGTTTCTAACAGCAATTTTTTTTTTTTTTTTAGGAACTATTTTCAAATTAGTAAGTACAATGTCTTCAATAAGCAGTTGAATTCTGACAGCAAGTCACTCAGATTATAGATTATTTGACTTAACTATAATGTGTCAATTTAGAATAAGCACCTTCAAGGCCTTCCTTTCCCAAACTATTCCTTGTTACCATGATAATGACTGCCGGGGGGGATTTAAGTCCTCTAATTTGCTTAACCAGTTCCCTCTGTGAGGTGACGAGGGCACATATAAGCCTGCAAATAAAAGGAGGGCTGCTATGACCTTAAAGTGTCTATTTTTTACAATCACAGACAGGTCATGTTTTCTTCCCCCCAGTCTCAACCAATTCCTACTTTACTACCATGAAGTTTATATCAATTATTAAGTCATATTTGGAAAAATGATTCTAGTACTGAGATGATAAATTCACATTCAAACATGCAGTATGAATATAATTAAACCTTAAAACATTTTAGTTTAAAACTAATAATAATGATCAGTTCAATTTTTGCACTTTGTAATGGAAATAAGCAACTAGTTCTCTTTTATACACCAGAAAGAAAATAGACTACTTTTTAGCCAAAATTTTTATTCAAACTGTAATACATTAGAACTCTCTCAAATCAATTAAAATCTATTAATCGAAAAGAAAAACAAAAAAGTTGACTATAAAAATTGGTACGAGAACAGCACTCCTGCTCTTATTGTAAGTCCATATTTAATTTCATGTAAGCTGAAGGAATTATTTGCTGATTTTATCAGGCTTTCAGCTGGTTTCTGAGTTAAGCAATGATACAGAATTAGCATGTTGTTACTTGGGGAAAAAATACAGTCAAACCATGATACTCACTGCTACAGAGTATTGTCAACAAGCACATGTGTGACATAAGCACATAACGTTTCAGTCAATAAGCAATAATTTGGTTTCTTCCTTCTCAAAATCCAGTGCAGGAGATATGACAATCAACAGTAGCAACAAAATTGCATTTTTATAACAATTTTCTTTATAGTGATATGGTATATATTATCTACATATTTTTTCTTGATATAAATGTTTTAATTTGAAAACATATATGTGAAGTTTTATTTAAAAACATACTTTTAATGCTAGTTATATTTTATTTGACAATTATCTTACTTAAATTGAAAAAGATCTATTTGCACAATTCCAAATAACAGATCTCTTCACATAATAGGTCCTCCTCCTCCCCTAATTATACAACTGATCAGTTAAGGAAATTTGATAACATATGAAATCAAATACATTCTTTACGTAATAGCATCTATGATTATTAAATATGAAAACATTATTTACCAATATTTAAAAGGCATAATAACATTAAATACTTTCAACAGTGCAATAACCAAAATTTAGAATACAATATAATTAAAAAAATATAAATAATCTGGAAATATAATTTTAAATGGAGTTTAATATTATACAACTATAATTCTTACCCACAGCACAAGTTCTCTTGCCAGTCTGATTATGAATCAACCTGACAACTTCAGCTTTTTGAGTGGGAGAACAACGGCAACACACAACTGCCGGACACTGACAGGCTAGTTCCATAAACTCTTTAGGATAAAATTTTAAACACAACTGAAAGAGACATATAATACACAATAATTTATAAACGGAATACACAAAATTTAGGAAATAAAATAACAGTGTAAATATACAGTATGAAAAGCTTAAAATTCATAAAAATTATTTCAGCATAATGAAAGCATACATCATTATAAAATTTAATTTATATTTTCTGCACAACATTCATTTCACAAATTGGGCAATATAAATTCGTTAAAGTTGGTAGGAACATTCTTATTGAAAATCATACACATTGTTTCAGATATCTTATACTATTTCCAATATGCCTTCCATGATATCTTATATTTTTTCCAAAAGAAAACTCTCCAAGTTCTATTTTGCATGAATTCCTCTATCTAAAATAAATGCCAAATTTGTTTCTGCTAACTGATGCAACCATAACTAAAAGCATACCTGTGAAAACACAACTTGTGGATTTGCAAGAAAGCTAGTTTATGAAAATTCTTAACATCAGATATAAATTCAACCCTCTTTGTCATATAAAATTTACAAAATTCCCAGTGAATTTATAAATACAAAATTTAACCACACCTTTAAATGGCCAGAAAAAACTCTTAAGATGATTGAAATAAGAATATTCAAATTTTGAAAACTTGAATTAAAATTCTGAAACTAACCTCTAGGCTTTCTCCTTTAATAATCAACACGGAGTCATTTTTTCTTCTAAAGGAGTTAAGTTCTAAATGAACTTCTGTACGTGATAATGCATTCTGAAATACATGGATTTGTTGATTTCGAGCAACTAAGCGGGAAGACTTTGCAATACTTATAGCAGTTTCAAGTTTATCACCAGTAAGCATCCATATCTAGAAGCAAGTAAAAATAAGCACTCATATAGTAAAAAGGAGTCACAGAAATTAATGAAACAAGACTCTAATTATATGCAAAAACACTTGATGCGCAAAATACTTCGTGTGATACTAAATTTTTTTTAATGATGATACTGTATGCTTTAAAATAATTAAAAAATCATTACAAAAATAAAAGATGCACAAGATTATCTTTCACTTTTAAGCACTAATAAATTTATTGATAAAATATCCGTGACATTTTACAAAAAAGTTGCTACATAATAATAATTTCAATGGTAACTTGAGAAACCGCTAAAATATATAAATTATCATCATGTTACTTAAAATACTTATGGTAACACACAAAAATCATAATTCTTCTGCCAATTATGCAAATAATTTCTATAAAATAGACACTTGCATAACTTGAAGCAAATAAATATGATTACAAAACATCTAATTTTTCAATGATGTAAGTCTTTCAGATTCACTTCACTAAATAAAAGCTCATATACATAATTTTTTCCATGGGTTTTTCATTTAAAGAAGTGAACCCAAAAAAAACTATAAAGTAATGGTACCATGTTTTTCCTAATTTCATAGACTTTTGCTTATGGCAGCCTGATGTGTTTCACTCATTTATCTTGCATTTCCAAAAATGAAAATACAGTACAAAGTCCGTAATCCGGACGTCCATTATCCAGAATTATCTATAATCTGGACCTCAAAGCCACAAACTTTTTTTTTTTTGTATGCTTTACGCAGGTGCGTTTAATGTATAACGGACGGTATATAAGCTACGCTAAAATTATCGTTACAGATTCTAAGGCATTTCAATTAATATTACAGATTGTGCTGTTCCCTAATCTTCTAATTGGATCTGGCTTATTATATTTTTTGCAGACTGTTAGAGCAATTTTATAAAAATTAAGCTTGAACTTTCGATTATGTCAAAAAGAAATTCGAATTCGAGAGCTGCCAAAGGATCTACAAACCGAAAGAATGTTTCGATATCCATCAAACAAAAAGTGGAATTGCGGCAAAAAATGGATAAATGCATATCCGTCTCACAATTATACAAGGAGTATGACATTGGAAAGTCAACTGTATATGACACAAGCAAAAAATAAAAAGGAACTTTTTGAATTTTTTGTGGATTCCGACACCCCATTTGCAATGAATAACAGAAAAAGGGTTCATTATGCTAAAAGTGACGGTCATGACAAAGTGATGATTGAATGGGTCAGACAGCGTCGCAGCGAGGGTGTGCCATTGACGGGTCCAATGCCAAGCCAAAATATTTCATGAAGAAATGAACTTAAACACTGAGTGCACATATTCGACAGGTTGGTTAACCAAATTTAAAATCGACATGGTATAAGACAATTAAAAATTTCAGGTGAAAACGCTTCAGCTGATACTGAAGCTGCTGAACAATTTCCAGATGAATTCCTTGAACTCATTACTAGTGAACAATTATCTCCAGAACAAATTTACAACACTGATGAAACTTGTCTATTCTGGCAAGAGGTTGCCTTGGCAACCTCTACAGAAAAGGCTCCAACTGGTGTCAAAGATTCCAAAGCGAGACTAGCAATTTTAGCGTGCACAAATGCTTCAGGAACGCACAAGTGCAAACTTTTCATAATTAGAAAACATGCATGACCTCAAGCATTAAAGGAGTAATGATTTTCCCCGTTATATATCGCGCAAATAAAACAGCATGGATGACACAAGCGTCGATGAATGATTGGTTTGAAAATCATTTTATACACGAGGCTCGGCGACATTTGAATTCAGTTGGTTTACCTGATGACTCAAAAATAGTCCTGATTCTTGACAACTGTTCGGCGCATACTTCACTTTACCATGCCAAGTTTTAGTGAAAGATAATGTATCCATCTTATTTTTCCCTCCAAACTGTACATCTATCATTCACCTATGATTATGGGAATAGTGCACGCGCTGAAATGCAAATATAAAGTAGCATTTTTAAAATCTATGTTAAATTTCTTGAACAATGGCAAGACTATTCAAGACTTTTTAAAATTTTTTAACATAACACCTGCTGTGTGGAGCATCGCAAGATTGTGGGAGGATGTGTCTCCAGATATGTTAAAAAATGCTTGGCATAATTTATGGCCAGCTACCATATTTCATGGTAAGGAAAATGAAGATGATAGCTGCAAATTTGAAGGTTTTTGGGCATCACAAACTAAAGGTGAAATTTTCCAGTTATTGGATTTCGTAAAGAAATGTGGAGAAGTGGTAATAAATGAAGATGATATAACAGAAGTTTTTCATTGCGATGACAATGCCCCAATCATCAATCAATTAATGGATGGCGAAATCTGTAGTATGGTTCTAGATCCAGAAAATATCGCTTCCGATAGTGAAGAAAATGACACAGACATTACCGAAAACGAAACAATTTCGATTGACAAATTAGTCGGTATTCTCGACACAGCAGTTGCACGACTTGAACAGTGGAACTTTGTAACTGAACAAGAAATTATGTCTATTTATAGAATTAAAGAGAAAGTACAAGCACAAAAAACGAAGCAAATTAAACAACTTACATTGAAAGAAATGTTTAATAAAGCAAACAAATAAATATTAAGCTTTGTTTTGTAAATTTTGATACCCTTTAGATCATAATTGCTCTTTATTTCATAAATTACGGTTTCATAATTTTAATTGCATAATTTCTGCATGCCATCTTACCAGATTTAAATTGATGATCTATAATCCGGAAAAAACAATAATCCGGAATCGCCGAAGTCCCAACGAGTCGGGATTACGGACTTTGTACTGTATTAACAGTGAATTTACAAAAAGTTTTTAAAAAAATTATAACACCTATTCAAAACACTTATAATGAGAAACTTCATCTACTATACACTCAAGATTTTAAGACTGATTTACATTTAAAGACAAAGGCGGCCTCACATCATAAAGCAAACCAAGTCATTTAAAATTTTTAAAAGGCTCATATTTTGCAACACCTGTACATTAATTAGAATTTTATAGAACTATTTTAAACTATATGTGTGTAAATAATCAAGAGTTCAGAGTAGTTTTGTTCAGGAAAATGGGGTTAAAGGTTTTATTACAAGTACAAAGAATTAGATTGAAACTGTTTCTGAATTATGTAAAAATCATTGAAAAAGAAGTATAGAAATTAATATGCATCATCAAATCCAGAAAAATAAATTATTATGATTATGTACAGAAAAGATAACATTACTTTGATCCCTGCATTTCTAAGAAGCTCCAATGTAGGGCGTACATTATCTTGAAGTTTATCTTCAACACCTGTTAGACATAGCAATTCCATATCCCTCTCTAAACTTTCAATGACAGCAGCCACTTTAGCAGTTCGATCATGAATGCTAACTTTTGCTTGATTGTAGCGAGCCTAGAGAAAATTTTAAGACAGTAAAATAATATGTAACTATGCATTAATGACTAAGTACTATGTAAATATACATTAAAAAAACAGAGAAAATTTTTTTCATATATTACAAACTATAAATAATGTATTAAATATTATTTATATTTAAATTAAAACTTCTAGAAGGGGTAGATGACTTCGAATAAAAAAAATGAAATCCTAATGAGATAGAAGTCTGTTAAGGACTGCCACAGGAAAATCGACAACAGCTACCCATACAGGTATCAGGATGGAAAATATGAATACATGATAATCTCAAATTGACATTTAAAGACCATAAGCTTAAAATAAGTGATGACTTTCCTGACAATGAAGTTGCTCGAAGTTTTGTAACATGGGCATCTTATGGAATCTCGAATGTTTCGAAATATGATGGGCATCTGTCTGACATTTGCAGCAGCTACAAAGATGTGCCATTTTAAAACATCTGAGATTTCAAACCTCATGCGACACTGCAAAATGTCAAGGACCTTCATCATCAGGAGAGTCAGGAGTCAGTTTGCAATAAATTCCAACACATTTTCCCCGTACTATCTCTGATCAGCTGGGGGATAAATAAAGATGCAGATGTGACAAGCTGATAATGGGTAGAAAAACTCTTTATTTAGTGATAATTTACAATACGTATATACTTTCAGTTTAACAACAAATGACCAAAGTTCCAAACATTCACCGTTATGCAGGTTTCACAATGACGACACATGGCACTGTCAAACCCTTTCAAAAATACCTGGCATGTCATGGACATTTGCAGCAGCCATACAGATTCTTGAAACAATCTCTATGTTATAACAACTAATGGCCAGCTCATAGACCATCGCTTTCAGGGTCCCCCATAAAGAAGAAATTTAGGCTAGATAAATCAAGTAATCACGGTGACCATGGGATGGGTCTTCCATGCCCATTCCACTGCTGTGCAAACATATTCTTCAAGTAACCCCCATAGCACGTGGGTAAAATGAGCTGGATCCCACTGTAGTGGTACCACATTGCTCAACGAACAGACTTAAGAACATTGTTGAGTAATTATGGCAATACCTCCTCCAGAAAAATGTGATATTTTCGAACATCCAGTAGGTGTGCTAAGAGATATAGCTCTATTAAATAATCAGCAACAATACCCACACATATATTCAGAGAAAACCCTTACCAGACAGTATTTGGGTGCCTACTTTGTGGGTTGTTTGGCTCCTACATGAACACAGTAATGATGCAAGATCCCTTCTTGACAGAGAGCTTCATCCATGAAAAAAAAACATAAAACAGAAATGCCGGTTTATGGTTGCTATAAAAACTGCCTAAAAACAATGGTGGCCCGTATAGGAACACAAAGCATCAGCTGGTTCTTTATCATTTATTATTTCCTTTATATATACATACATACAGATGTCTTATCATAAGGTGGGCTAACTTTCTGGGAATCATATGAACTGAAACATGGTTCCCCTTTTTCTTTTCTACATTATATGCATTCTGCTGCCAAGCAGTGCCATTTATATTCTTTCTATTCAACATTCCCCACATATGAACTCTTACGTTCACACAAACCGAATACATAATAAATCAATACTGCTAAATCAATCACAACATTTTAAATGCTATTTAAACAACATCAAATAGCATATAACAATCAAGTAATGTTTAAACACATTAAATCAACGTATAAATTAATTACTAAATAAGAGACATGAATCAATCATAGCAAAATCAAAATTCACAAACTTTACAACCTAAAAATGACATTTAACAACAATCAATAAAGATACTATGAAAATGATATATATGCAAAACAACAAAATCAGATCATTACACAGTTGCTCTTTACTATTAATTATACACTTCAAGGCAGTACAGCAATTGTATTGGTCTCTTTAAATTACCTGTTTGAGTTTTTATGAGACAGGATGCAAACCTAACGATCTCTATCAGGATAAATCTCTATTATCGTCCTATTATTTATTGTCCACAAATTCCTAGGGAAGCAGTCGTCATATACAAGGACAACATCCTCAACTTAAACCAGATATTTTAGTAGATGGACATAAACTAATAGACCTTAAGGAAAGAAAGTAATGTTTCCTCCAATAATTCCAAGAATGATTTAAGAAGGTTTGTTGATCATTATAACTTTTGATCAAGGAATGTTTAGACCCAAACAGGTCTTCTCCGCATACTCTTGTTACTGGAAGAGAAAATAAAAGTTGAACTAAGAAATGAGCAAGCGTTAGTGGTAAGGGTTCTGAAGAGTTATTATAGGTTATGTGCTTGATTTCTATGAAAACTGTTGATGGTTTTCCTGTGACAGCCCATAATATTCCGTATCATGTTAGGATTGCATTTCCAACCCTACACTGTTATGGGATTCCGAGTCATCTAGGTGTACCCTAACCCACCTACAGGTTTATTCCTCTAGTCTCAAATCACCCTGAATACTTTCTTAAATAATCACTAATATTAAAAATTTCAGGAAGTCGCTCAAATCTTTGATATCCAGTACTTAGCAGACATTAGAAAGATAAGAAAATAAAATTAAAGCTCTCAACATTTGAAGCTAAAACACTATATAGAAATGATATTGTTGCATTTTTCTTCTTCCTTCTGACACCAGTTGTTACGTTATTTTCTTCCTTTACTTTCGTATGGGGTTTTGTGTGGATTTGGAGTGAATAACGACAACACTTGATGAAGTATCAAAACACACTTTATTTAGCCAATATTAATCAGGACAGCTCCAATAACACTTTTTACAGTTGTCGAAGATCTACTATAAACACACTGGAACAATCAGCGACATAGCTTTCAGGTTATCAGGCTATCACGGTGGAGACAGCTTCCTGCAAAGCACCCGACTTTGATTTCCGGAGTACAGCTCCCGAATCTGCTTGGTCGTTCTCGGAACTCCAAGTACTCTCGAGACTCTCCACGCTAATACGTGCGATGCACTCGACGACACACGAGCACAGCTCCCGACTCTTCGGTTCAGTCGTTCCTGGAGCTCAACCCGCTCTCTCAATGATGCAGTAACCGCGATACACTTAACAGACTCCTTCGGTGCACTCGACGACCCCACTTGACACTCGCTGCCTGGCTGTCAACTCGATCGACTCCGCAGGGACTGACTTGCTAAACGAGACACACACTAACTGACTGTGGAGCAGCAGGGTTTATATAGCTTTCAGCTTGTGTTCGGGAACATTCTGGGCTAAACCGGTAAGAATTCGTTCCAGTTCTCCAACCGTCCATGGTATATCGCCAATTTTGTCACCAAATGGGCAATTTCTCACCAAATATCGCAACCCTAAAACTGCTTTGTGGGGAAGCCATCTTACCGCGCCTGTATATTTCGCAACAATACAGAAAATAAGAAAGAAATGATTTAAAAAAAAAATAAGTAAAATAAAGATAAAAAAGGGATTATAATTACCCTTAGAAAAATAAGGATTTAAATATTTCTCGATTTTCAAATTCCTTTCTTCAAACAGTGTTTTATACATAATTTTAAATTTAATATGAAGATATGTTAAAAATTTTTACTCTGTTATTGATTAAAAAAAGTATTAAGAAAAAACTTTTTTTAAAAATTTTAATATTTAAATCAATAGAAAAAATATAGAACTTCATTAATAATGATTTCAAATAAATGATGAAATTTCTAACTAACCTCAAAATCAGCATACTGTTCTTCAGTAAGAACTTTCTTGGCCACAACAAGAGTTCTAAGTCCTTCTCTAGCCATATTTCCACACTACAGAAGAAAGTGTCAAATAAATATGTTACAAATTAAACTACTGCTAACTTGAAACAAATAACACAACACACATATGATTAGAAACAAGATATTCTCACCTTATATAAAAAAATAACATAGAAAATAATAAAGAGATGCATTTAGTTTAAAAATATGCATTATAATGTTTATACATTATTGACTCATTAACATGATTAATGAAATGTAATTTTATGAATTAGAAATATGTGATTTATTGCACTTAGAAGAATAATCTGAAGTTTTACATTTGCAATGGGCCACATTTTTTAAATATGCAGACATGCTTTCACTTTCTACTCTTTTTTGGTAAAATTATATAACAAGGAAATGTTAAGTAAAACTTATTTAGATTTTACATATTAAAGTTATAACCCATGTCTGCCAGAAATAGCAAGCTTGAAAGCTTACACATGTCATGCAGCAATTCTTGGAATTCAGAGAAATGTGCACAACACATAGCATTTTATTTCTATTATTTGGCTTCCTTCATGTTTCCAGATTTTCCATTTGGCTTGTATGTTTGTTAGCAGAGTTTAGATGAAGACATTTAAGCTTACATACAGATAAGAAAATAAATTCATGATAAACAACAGATACACCTTCTTATTTTACTGCAGCAGGGATTTTCTGCGTTAGGAATAAGGAAACTTTTGTGCATGATAGCATATGCATACTTATTATATTGAAAATTTTATTAACATGTTTCCACTACTTGATGTAAACTATGCTATTTCTACAGAAAAGCAGTTTTGTGAATAAGCAGAAATTAATAATGATTCATCTGTATTTAGTTGCATTAATAGCAAACGAAATTCTGATCGTTTTGTAACACTGTCATTCTCTTATTATTAAAATTTTACTGCTGAAAGTTTAAAGCACATTTAAACTAAAAATAAGGAGTTTTCCATGCCGAAGGCTGTGTTTCCCATAAAATATTTTATTCTAATTCTATATTTAAACTCTAAAAATCATTTTAATTCTCCCACTTCATTAAAAAACTAAACATTTTCCCACAGCAGCTATTTTATGATACGCATGCACACACACACATATACAAAAAACTAGTTCAAGAATATCTCATATACCAAAGGAAAGAAAATGTGTTGTTGTTGTTGCTCATCCCCTTGGTTTAGACTCCTAAACCAAGGGGATGAGCAACAAGGTTTAGGACAACAACTCCAAGGTTTAGGAGTCTTGGTTTAGACTCCTAAACCAAGTCCAAAAGATCATTTATGCATCAGCAAGTTGTAAACAAACTCTCCCTTATTCAACAGTTGCCCCCACAGAGGCACCAATACATTCTATGAAATGAAAAAGAGATGCGATGGCTGAGCAAAGATCTCATTTTCACTGAAGATTAAACTCTTAATATGTCCAGTCCTAAACCTAGATAAAGACGTTTGAGCAGATCTGGGGCAGAAGAACTGCAGGGACAATTGAGGGAACTTTGCAACATTCATATATAATCTTCCAAACGTTATTAACATTGGCGAAAAACAAGGAATGGACTTTCAGAAGCTCATAACTTGGAAAAAGGGGCTGTGAGGAGTTCACTATTTTTTCTAGCAAGCTGATAAACAATTTTATTTCCATAAATACTCAAAGGAAAAGGAATCTACTGCAACCACACAGGGCCAGTCTGAGTCAAAATGATAATTTGGAAACAATATCTTGTTCCAACTTATCCAGGATGTATGGCCAATTCTTCAAGTACTGAATTGCACTTTTGCTACCTGTCAACATCCATACATTGGGTATGCCAGAATCCAAAGTAAGACTCAGAGCGTCTCTTATAGAAATTAATTCCGAGCAAAAATCTGAACTGTGGTCTGGGTTTCTAAGACAATATTTTGACTCCCCTTTACTTGTTGTCAAGAATTTACCACTGCTAGTTCTTCCAGAGTAAGATTTGTTTTCATCAGTATAGATAACCATGGCATGAGAAGGGATGTTATTAATTACATCAAGAGCCAGCTGATGAAGCAACTATGGGTGTTCAAGTCTTCATTAAAAGTTACATCACCAAGAGATGCAGTATGTGTCAATAGATTAAAAAGAGGACAGATTTAAATGTCTGCCAAACCATGCTTCCGCATTAAAGCAAGAGTGCTGTCCTTTTTCAACATCTGTTTATTTGTTCAGTTCGATAAAAAGTTTGATGTTCTGCTACAGGGTCATAAACTCTTAAGCTTGGCCATGTATACTGCAAAGTTTGCTTTTCTTATCAAGGAAAGTGGCTGAAGATCAGCCTTAAAGAGGACAATATGATTGGGACAAGAATTTCTGAGACCAATGATAATTCTGGCTGCATTTAATTGAATTCGCTCTAATATTTTTAAAATTAGTAAGTGCAGCAGCCTGATAAATATGGTAGCCATACTCGAGGACTGGTCAAATGAGTGCAGTGTAGGTAATTTTGAGTTTTAGAATCCGCTCCCCAATCCCTGCCAGATCTTTCTACCTTTCATGCAAGTCTATTAAGATGCTCATGACAACCGATTTCAGGATCCAGAGTAAACCCCAAGTAAGCAGGGTGTCTTGGTAGATTCAAGCAGTTGTCCCTTTAGATAAATCAATGGCTGATAATTGAACAAATAAATGTCTGTTAGTAGTGAAGAGATAGCCGTCTGTTAGTAGTGAAGAGTTTTAGCAGAATTAAAAATCAATTTATGCTCCTCTGCAAAACACTAGATTGTCTACAACGTAGCACTGAGAAAATTTTCCAGTTTACTTAGGTCCGAATCATGGTTCCAAATCACACAATCATCAGCAAATATGCCTATTTGACAAGGGAAGGCCACTTTCTCCATACCTGTCATAAATAATGAAAAGAGAGTAGGACTTAGTATTGATCCCTGTAAAGAAGATACATAAGTTTATAAGCAATTGGGCAATAGTTACCCATATACATATATAGTCAAAAGTCGTTAATCCGGACTCGTCGGGACTTCGGCAATTCCAGATTATAGATCATCAGTTTAAATCTCGTAAGATGGCATGCAGAAATTCTAAATTTAAAAATATGAAACCATAATTTATGAAATAAAGAACAATTATGATCTAAAGGGTAACAAAATTTACAAAAAAAAAAGCTTAATATTTGTTTACTTTATTAAACATTTCTATCAATGTAAGTTGTTTCGTTTTATGTGATAATACTTTCTCTTTAATTCTATAAACAGACATAATTTCTTATTCAGTTACAAAGTTCCGCTGTTCAAGTCCTATAATTGCGGTGTCGAGAATATCTACTAATTTGTCAATCGAAATTGTTTCGTTTTCGGTAACGTCTGTGTCATTTTCTTCACTATCGGAAGCGATATTTTCTGGATCTAAAACCATACTACATATTTCGCTGTCCGTTAATTGATTGATGATTGGTGCATTGTCGTCGCAATGAAAAACTTCTCTTATATCATCTTCATTTATTACCGCTTCTCCACATTTCTTTACAAAATCCAATAACTGAAAAATTTCACCTTTAGTTTGCGATGTCCGAAAACCTTCAAATTCGCCGCTATCATCTTCATCCTCCTCACCATGAAATATGGTAGATGGCCATAAATTATGCCAAGCATTTTTTAACGTACTTGAAGACACATCCTCCCACGATCTTGCGATGCTCCACACGGCAGATTTTATGCTAAAAAATTTCAAAAATTCTTGAACAGTCTTGCCACTGTTCAAGAAATTTAACATAGATTTTAAAAATGCTGTTTTATATTTGCATTTCAGCACGTGCACTATTCCCATATCCATAGGCTGAATGATAGACGTACAATTTGGAGGGAAGAATAACACGGATACATTATCTTTCACTAAAACTTTAAGTGAAGTATGCGCCAAACAGTTATCAACAATCAGAACTATTTTTGAGTCATCAGGTAAACCAACTGAATTCAAATGTCACCGAGCCTCGGGTATAAAATGATTTTCAAACCAATCATTCATCAACACTTGTGTCATCCATGCTCTTTTATTTGCGCGATATATAACAGGGAAAATTGTTACTCCTTTAAATGGTCGAGGTCGTGCATGTTTTCCGATTACGAAAAGTTTGCACTTGTGCGTTCCTGCAGCATTTGCGCACGCTAAAATTGTTAGTCTCGCTTTGGAATCTTTGACACCAGTTGGAGCCTTTTCTGTAGAGGTTGCCAACTTACTTCGCAGTACATATTGCCAGAAAAGACCAGTTTCATCAGCATTGTAAATTTGTTCTGCACATAATTATTCACTAGTAATGAATTCAATGAATTCATCTGCAAATAGTTCAGCAGATTCAGTATCAGCTGAAGATTTTTCACCAGAAATTTTTAATTGTCTTATACCATGGTGATTTTTAAATTTTGTTAACCAACCTGTCGAATATGTGTGCACTCTCCAGTGTTTAAGTTCATTTGCTTCATGAAATATTTCGGCTTGAGCCATTACCACTGGGACGTGTCAATGGCACGCCCTCACTGCAATGGCGTCTGACCCATTCAATCATCACTCTGTCATGATCGTCACTTTTAGCATAACGAACCCTTTTTCTGTTACTCACTGCAAGTGGGGTGTCGGAATCCACAAAAAAAATCAAAAAGTTCCTTTTTCTTTTTTGCTTATGTCATATACAGTTGACTTTTCCAATGTTATATTCCTCGCATAACTTTGAGACAGGTATGCCTTTATCCAATTTTTGCAGCAATTCCACTTTTTGTTTGATGGACATGGAAATATACTTTTGTTTTGTAGATCCTTTGGAAATTCCAGCATCGGAAATTCTATTTGACATAATCGAAAGTTCAAGTTTACTTTTATAAAATTGCTCTAACAGTCTGCAAAAAATAATAAGCAGTATCCAATTCGAAAATTAAGAAACAACGCAATCATTAACATTAACTGAAATAGATAATTAGATCATTTTAGTTTACATCGTCCGTTATACATTAAACGCGAAGGCGAAAACGTATTCTGCACCTGCATGCACGCACATG